TTGAATCTTATTGTATAAGTATAAATAAATATTAAAATTAAACCTAATAACTAATAATTTTTATTATATATTAAAATAATAAATGTAAATTAGTAAATGTGGTAAATAACTTTTTAATTTATTAATTATTATTATAATATATTAAATAATAATTATTTAGAATAATAAAAAACAAAAATAAAAGTTAGAAAAATTAATATATCATATTTTAATAAATCAGTTTAATATTATTTTACAAACATTTTTTATTTTCAATTTTAATATTTATGTTGTTATTTAAATATTATATAAAACAACTACTTTTTTTGTATTATTTCTAAACTGTCAATAAAATCATTAAAAAAAATATCAAATATTATCCATTGATTTAGTCAATAGCAAAAAAAAATATAAATGATTTAATATATAATAAAATTAATAATATAGATTTATTATACTAAACTTTATACATTTATATTTTGCATTAATATAATATATTATCAATATATGTATTTAAACAAAAATCTAAAATTTCAATTGTTTACTATTTTTAAAAAAAAAAACAAACTACAGTATTTCAAAACATTAACCAATATTTTTATAAACACAAAAATTAATTAACTAATCAGTAATAAATTAAGTTATTATATATATATATATATAAAATAATTTTTAAAAATTATGCAAAATTAAATTAACTGTAATGATGTAATCTAAAAATAAATATTTAATTTTAGCATTAATTAAAACTATTAATTTAATTGTATTTATTCTAATATATAATGTAATCTAGTATTGAAATACAATAAAAAAAATATATTATATTTATTACAAGATATTTTAATTTTTCATTTATTATAAATAATAATAATATATTTGAATAATTTTTTTTTTAAAATTAATTAATGTTATATCTAATGTTAATATATTGTTAATGCTAAATAATGTTAATAAAAATGTTATAAATAATGTAAATAACATTATTAAATATTATTAAAAAAATTTATTATTATTATTAGTTTTTTTTGGTTGAAATTATGAATTCTTATATATTATTTGGTTTTATTAATGTGTTTGTAACCAATGGTTTGCATTCAATTAGTATCAAACACTACCCGTCGGTAACTGAGGACAAGTGCGGTATTAGTCGGCAGTCATTGTTGATGAACGGCGTAAACCACTGTTTCAAGTGGTCATCAAATAATAATGTGACCACAAATGTCCAAAACGGACGGTTAGCTCAACCGGGAGAGTGGCCTTGGATTGCATTCATTGATATATACAAAACATTTTGGGGTTTCAAATATAACAAGTATTTTCATATATCATATATTTTTATATATATATATAATTAAACTAATTTTTTTTTTTAAATATAAAGGAATTTCTAATCTATAATTAAAAAAAAATAATTTAAAAAAACTAATATTATAATATAATTTTTCAAAACAGTAAATGGTGTACAGGAGTTATACTAAATAACAATTGGATTATAACAGCAGCTCATTGTATAATGTAATTAAAAAAATATTTTCAAATAATAATAATTTGATTAAAAAAAAATAATTATTAATTAGATATATAAATAATTTTTTTTAATTAATTTTTAAAACACACATATATTATATAAATATATATATATATATAATTTAAAACAGTAAATATATTATTTATTTTTATATATTATTTCAAAACTATTTATTTTAATTTTTTTTGTTTAATTATTAAAAAAGTATCGATAATACAATTAGCGTACGACTAGTTCGCGATTATAGTCAACACGATTATAGTCAGTCATACGGTGTGGATATGTATGTAATTCATCCAAACTATACGTTATTTATCAAAACTAGACCCGGTTTACAATTTGCATACGATATTGCATTATTGAAACTGTCGTCAAATATATCGATGACTACTAAAACAACAACAACAGAGTCAACGGCTGGAAGATATCCGACAGTTAATCCAATTTGTTTGCCCGACAGAGACATTGTTAACACCGATAAAGAGTTGGCATTGTTTGCCGGTTTCGGTGATATTGACGATAATGTCCTAAATTTGGGTCCATTGCGTACGGGTTGGATGCGTATGAATGAACCGACTAATAACGTATCAGATCTTTGGTATTATTTAATTAAAAGCAATAGATATCCTTTAAATGATGGCTTAGGTCTCTGTTCGGTTAGTCTATAATAAACTTCAAATAAATTAAAATTAAATATTAATTTTTTTTTAATAAATTTTTAAAATAATATACTGTTTGTGTGTTTATATAGATTTGATTGTATATGTCAGTTTTGTATTTATGTGTGTATATGAGGGTAATACTATGTATGTGTTGTGTGTTTATTTAGGTTTCTAGTATGTGTGTGTGTTCGTGTGTTTGTATGTGTGTTTGTATGTGTGTTTGTATGTGTGTTTGTATGTGTGTTTGTATGTGTGTGTATGTTTTTTCTGTTTGTTTGTATGTATAGTGTGTGTATGTATGTGTGTGTGTGTATGTATGTGTGTGTGTCTGTGTGTGTATGTATGTGTGTGTGTGTGTGTCTGTGTTTGTATGTATGTGTGTGTGTGTGTCTGTGTGTGTATGTATGTGTGTGTATGTATGTGTGTGTGTGTGTCTTTGTATGTGTGTGTATGTTTTTGTCTGTGTGTTTGTAAGTATAGTGTGTGTATGTATGTGTGTGTGTGTATGTATGTGTGTGTGTCTGTGTGTGTATGTATGTGTGTGTGTGTGTGTCTGTGTTTGTATGTATGTGTGTGTGTCTGTGTGTGTATGTATGTGTGTGTATGTATGTGTGTGTGTGTGTCTTTGTATGTGTGTGTATGTTTTTGTCTGTGTGTTTGTAAGTATAGTGTGTGTATGTATGTGTGTGTGTGTCTATGTTTGTATGTGTGTATGTATGTGTATGTTTTATGTATATGTGAAATATATATTTTTTTTTTAAAAAAAACTATCTTAAAACAGATTAGCCAAACTTATTACAGATTAAAAAAAAAATTTTAAAAATTATAATTGATTTGTTTTTAGCTTCAATTATTTCAGTAATATATACTGTATATATATATATATACAGTAATAATATTTTGTAATGTAATTGAATTATAAATATATATATATATTATTTTCTAAAAAAAAATAATTAAAAAAATAAAGGGTGATTCGGGTGGACCATTGATTCAGTATGGTTTTGATGATAGTCAACAACAACGGGCAGTACTTATAGGTTTGGCTTTAAGCTATTGGCCCCGAAACCTGTCCATTAGCTGTCCGCCAAAATTGGTTGCCGATTCTGGCAATCAATTTTTACGATTGTCTAAACACATCGATTGGATTATCAATACAGTGACCCAGAAAACACTCATTAATAAACAATAAATTCAATTAACTTTTTCGGAATCAGATTAATAATAATAATAATAATATTTTTATAATTAAATAATTTTTTTAATTAAATATTTTTTTTTATATATAATTTATATACAATATATAAATATTTGTGTATATTTAAACAATTTTTTTTTTTAAAAAATATAATCTATTTATTTAAGAAAATGTTTATTACTATAAAAATTTATTTTACAAACAATTACTAGCTTTAATTGGTTGTAAAAATAAAAACTGCAAAAAAATAAATAAATTTCTATATGTATATTGACAAATTATTTAATTAATTAATACATAGATTTTTTAATCATTTATATACATTTTATATATTTTATATATATATACTTGTTATTTTTAATTATATTTATGCTTTATTTTTAAACAACAAATACTATTTTTTGTATATTGTTATTATTTTATTATATATAATAAAACAAATTATTAAGTACCATGATAAAATGTTTATTACATTATATATTCTATAAAAAATATATTAAATACTTTTGATAAAATACAAAATAGCAACAACAAAAAAGTTATGTATTTGTATAAATAATATTATATTTTTTTATTAAATAGGATTATATTTGGAAAAAAATAAAACTCTTGAATAATTTTTTTAGATTAAATATTTTTATATAAAAAAATCTATTATATTATATACTTATATATATAGATAAAAAAATTAAATTAATTTTTTTGTATCAAATAACTTTATTTATTTTTTTACTAATTTATTTTTAATAATGTATAAAAAATTTATTTTTAATGATTATAAAACTTATGATAAATTATTTCCTTTTCACGATTGAACTTTGATTTTATAATAATTATTATTTTATTAAAATATATACTATAATATAAATCATAATAATAATTAAAACATTTTTAGATAATTTTATTAAAGTATATTATAAATTTATCTAATATTATTTTATACTATAACTTTTTTTGTATATTAATAAATAAGTTAGATTTTTAAATATAGTTATAATATAAAATATAAATTATAATTATTTTTCTTTCTAATATAAATAAGTTATAATTAAGTAGTTATAATAAATCTAATTAATATATATACGGAATTTATTAATTTCAATTTAATAAATTATTTTAATAAGATAACTTTTTTTTATATAATAATTGATTATAATTATCTAATACATTAATTAATACTGTATTATTAATAATATTTAACTTTAATATTTTTTTATGTTTAAGCGATACTTGAACTTTATATTATGTTTGATAATATATTTATGAAATTACATATTATCTACTAATATATATATATATATATATATATATATATAAATACTTTAAGTATATAACAAAAATAATATTATTAATAAGATTAATTAAAATGCAATTTTAAGTTATTTAGTTTTTAAAAAAAACTTAATTAAGAAAAATAATAAAATGTTTAACTTTAATTATCTATTGTTTATTACTATATGTTTTAATTATTATTCAATAAAAATTGTTAGTATAATTAATATATAATAATTATTATTTATTTTTTTTTGATTTAACAGTTATTTAATTTTTAAAAAATATATATATATATAATTTAAAATTATTAATTATTATTTTTTTCAGCTAGCTAATCAAAATCAATCAGCTAGCGAAATTTATGTATGCGGTGGCCAGGATACATCACGTATTTATTCAACATGTTTTAGATATGATGTCCAAACCGGGATCTGGCAATCAATACAATCCATGTCCACTAAACGTGAAGATTATGGTTTAGTTGCGTATAGTAATAGTCGATTGTATGCAATGGGCGGTTGGACTGTAAGTAAATTAAAATATTAATAAAATAAAATTTAAAATTTATTTATTTTTTTAATTTAAAAAAGGGTGCTGGTGAACTAAACAGTGTTGAACTATACGATACGCTAGCTAATCAATGGCAACCGGTTAAACCTATGATAACTGCTAGACGGTAATTATTTTTATTTAAAAAAAAAATTAATATTTTTAAAAATAAAATCATAAACTTTAATTATTATTTTCTATGTTAAAAATTTTTAATTTAATTTTTTTTGTATCTAGTGAATTTGATGCAGCCGTAATTGATAACAGTATCTATGTTTGCGGTGGTTATGGTAACTAAAAAAATATATTAAAAATTTTAAATTATTAAAAAATAGTATTAATTATATTTATTTTAATTAATTTTTTAATGAGCTAGATGTTTACAAAAAAATGTGAATATTATCAGCCAGATACTAATGAATGGCATTCGACTACTAACTTAACAATTGACCGGATGAATTTTGCAATGGTTGCCCACAAGGGGGCACTGTATGCAATTGGCGGTAAAAGTTACGGTGATGTACTATTAGATTCAATGGAACGTTTAGATTTGAAAACAAATAATGGTAGACCATGGTAGAAAATATGCAACGATATAGGTTAATTTTTGGTTAATTTAATATAGTAACAATTTTATTTATTTTTTTTTTGTAAAAAAAATTAACATGTACATAATTTTTTAATTAATTATTATTTTATAGAAATAATTTTGCAGCTACCTCATTTAGGGGATCGATATACGCATGCGGTGGTAAAACCAATGATGGTAGATCGTGCGAAATTTATAATTCAAAATCAAATACGTGGACATTAATTGGTTTAAAAAAAACTTAAAATTTTAAAATTTATTTTCTAAAAAATATTATTTTTTTCAATTAACTATTTTTTTAATTAAAAATATAGGATCAATGAACAGTGAACGTGTTAATTTTAAACTAATTGCTCTTGGTGATAAATTGTATGCACTGGGAGGTGATGCTAGATATCAACCGGAACCTACCGATACAGTAGAAGTATATGATTATCTAACTGATCAATGGAAATATACGACATCATTGCCCCATAAACTTGACTCATTTGGGGTATTAATTAGAAAATTTTTTTATTATTTTATTTTATTATAAAAATGTAATTTTTATTATTTTAATTTTTTATTATTTTTTCCATTATGTGTATATATAGGCTGCTGCTTTAACTAAATAATAATGATAATAATTTTTAAATGGACCGTCAATTATAAATTATTATAAATAAAAATTGTTTAATATTTTTTTAGATAAAATTATTTCTGAATTAATATCAGATATTTTTTTGAAACAATTAAATTGATTTTTATTTTAAACATTGAAAAATAAATTATATGTTCAGATATTATCAATTAACTATGAATTAAAATTAGTTATAATTTTTTTTATTAAATATTATAAACTAAAAAAATACTAGTTTTAAATTAAATTATAATAAAAAAAATTATTTCTACAGTTTAAAATTTTTATAAAAAAATTAATAACAAATACTTTTTGAAACAATTAAATTGATTTTTTATGTAAAACAAAAAATTTATTTAAAATATTAACATAAATAATGTATAATTATTGAAACAAATGTTTTATTTATTCCGCTTTATCTTTTACACACACTACTTATATTAATGTAAAATATAAAACTATTATAAATATATATAAATATTTATATAAACTTATGTATTTATAATAATAATTTCAATAATTACTAGTATATTATTATTGCAATATATTGATTAATAATTTTTTATTTTTTGTTTTATATATAATTAGCATTTACTGTATATAAATTAATTAGATTTAGTTTTTATTATTTTTAGAAATCTTTCACAATTATTGCATACAAATATTCATAACTATGTTAATGAGATATAAAACATCTGCATATAAATTAATTATAATATTATTAATTTATTATAGAAAATTAATATTTAATTACATTATGATGAAATATATTATTATATTTTTAGTAGTTTATAATTAATATAAAATACAATATATAATAATTAAGATATTAATTACTTAAATTTATTTAATAATATATCATATATATATATAATAATTAATTGTATTATAGATTAAGTAATATAATATTTTTTTTTGTTAATAAAATCATAATTATATAAAATAATAAATTTATAAAAATTATTTATTAATTTTTTATATAATAATTTTTTCTAAATAAAACTTCTGAATATATTTTATTTTTAGTTGAATATTTATTCAAGTTTTTTTTGCAATTATAATTACATATATACAATATATATATAACTAACTAAATACTAATAGATTAATAAATTGCTTATTTTAGAAATTTCTATATAATATATAAATTTTTATCGTTAATAAATTAATTTTTTTTATCATTATTATATAAAAAAAATAATATTTAAAATTACTATATATTTAGTAAAAAAAATAATAATAATTAAATATTAGGGAAATTAATTAATTTTTAGTTGAATTAATAGTTTTGATAATCCAATCCATAAATGAATGGACTTTCAATGCCATTCCCTGATCGTCATCCGATTGCGAGCACTTGTATTGGTCATCATATTTAGCATTACTCACAACAAATATGCCCACCAGTATAGCCCTGCCCTCGTAGTATTGCCAGATACCGGCACCGGAGTCACCCTTTATTTTTTTTAAAAAAATAAATAAATATTATACACAAACAAACATTGCATATATAAACAGATTATTTTTATTTGTTATTATAAAACTATAATAAATTAAATTTTGATTAAATTTTGATTGATTAAAATTGAATTGAATTAAAATTTCAATAAATAAATAATTAAATTGTTATTTTAAGTTATAAAACAAAATTTAGTTTTTATATAAATCATTAATAATTTTATTTGTTCTATAATTATAATCAAAAAAATAAAATTAAATAAATAAAACTTAATTAATTAATTTTCATAACAATTTAACTATTATTGGATATAGTAGCTTGTACATTATTTAAATAAAAAATATGTAAATATAAAAATTGCACTTTTAATTTATAAAATGAAAACTATTTACTAATTATTATTTATTTATTTGTAAAAAACTATTTACTAATTAAATATTTTTTAATTTGTAAAACAAATATTATTTACTAATAAAATTTTATTTTTTAAAATTTAAACCCCCCCCCGCCCTCCCCCCCAAAAAATAATTACCGAACATAGCGACACATATGGTTCAACTCGTTCAAGTGTAAAATATTTATAACCAGGCCTCGCGGGCGCCTCCATTTTGACCAATCCGATTTGCATGGGTCTACCCATTTGGTGTGTCTGTCCCCAACCGGCTACCATTGCCCACGACCTGTACTCCGACCACGGGTTTTGACTGAAATGTGGCAAACATATCGGTCCAACCGATACATACTGACCACTACTACTACTGGTGTTGCCGTCATCATCACTGCCGACGATCGTTATGTCCAATGGATCGGCCATTTGTATGAGTCCTATATCTGTGTATATATCATCAGTGACAGGGCTCGGGTAGGCGTATACCGATCGGACACCTTTAGGCATAGGTTTGTTTGGTGTAACGGCATTGTAGTCGTAGCCCAAGTAGATTATGGTGTGTTCGCTTTTTCTATATATGTTTTTGTATAGATTGGGTGGTATTGTAAGGGTAGGTGGGTGTGGGTGTAATTTGTTTTGTTTTTTTTTTAATTAATTTGATACTAACCTAATACAATGTGCAGCAGTCAATACCCACCATTTGTCAATAATGACCCCGGTGCAATAATTTTTCCATCTAATAAAATAAATTATATTTATTTATTTAGTTTTTTTTATCTAAATATATATATATATATATATAAATAAATTTTGTCTAAAAATTATAAAGATAAATATATTTTTTATAAATAATTTTATCTAAAAATATATACAAATAAATATATATTTTTTTCTTAAATATATATATATAAATAAATCAATAATCCTATTAGTTCTTAATTATAATTAAAAAAACAATACCAACAACAACAACTAATAATAATAATAATATTATTATTATTATAATTACCCTGATTATACATATGTGAGCAAGCAAGCAAACAAACTCAAAAAATTATAAAATAAAATAAAAAAAATAAGCAAAATAAAATTATTCAAACTATTTTTCTAAAAAAAAACAAAATTAAATTAACTAAAAATAAGCATGCCCAACAACAACAAACCTGCCATTGATTTTCATTTCAACCAAAACTGTCCATGGTGCTTCACCAGCTGAAACATTACGGGCGCGCATGCTAGTTTTATCAAACGGATATATGGATGGATGAAATTTGAAACAGGTCCTATCACCCAATTGCCAATTCAATTTACCTAGACCACATTGTCTAGGTTGGCCAACTATGGGGCTATAGTTACCCGGTATTATCGAATCGACATGGCTTATAATATTTACTAAATAATAAACTATAGTTGACAAAAAAAATTTTAAAAAAAAAATTAATAATAAATAATCATGATAATAATTTCTAATAAGTGGTAATAAATAAAAGTAATTAATATTTTATACTAATATTTCTATTATTTTAATTTTATGTTACTTACATAAAATTATAATTGTTAACATTGTTTATTAATTATTATTATTATTATTATTACTTTTTAATTGTATATAAACTGTAAAACAAATTTTTCTATAAAAAATATGATTAATATTTTAAAAATATGATTGTATTATATTAAATGAAAATAGTGATGAATTTGTTTTGAATAATATAAAATTATTTATTAATATTTTAGTAGTTATTTTAATTTTAAATATGATATGTTATAATTTTTGTGTAACTTAATATATTTAAATTGTTAAACTTTATATTTACTAAAGAAAAATAAAATATTTTCAATATAATAATATATTTTATTTGTAATAATTGCTAAAAATTAATTTTTTAATGAAAACTAAATATAATAAATTTAGTAGTTATAAATTAAATAATTATAAAAAAATAAAATAATTAAAATTAATACAATACGTTTTTTCATATATGTATATTTAAACATAGTTTAGTATAATTATTATAAATAGATTTATATTTTTTTATAAAATCAATAAATTTATTTGTTTTTTAGTTTTTAACATTATTTATTTATAATTTAAATATATAAATATTGTATATGTTTTTCAAATGTGATTATTAGTATTTTTATATAAAAAAATAAACTAACAATAATTTTTATAATTCATATATATATATACAAAAAAAAATAATATTTTTAAAACAAATAAATGTTTAAAAAATTTATTTAAGATAACAATTTTCAAGTGTTTGAAATACTTGTTTTTTTTAAAAAATAAATTTTCCATAATAATAACATATATAATTTTGAGTTGCTTGATAATATTAAGTAATTATTCAAGTGTTTTATTTTTTAGTTTAATTTAATTAACAACAACTGTTAATAATTTCAATTTTTTTAGATATTTATATTTGATTTAATTATTTTATTTTTTTTTTTGGTAAATTATCATTCAGGATGTAATTTTTCTTTTTAAAAATCTGAAATTAAAGTAAAAATTGAAATTAAATTTATCTTAATTTAAATACAGTAAATAAATTGTGAATAGACATATGTTTTTAATTTTTATATAACTAAATCATACAAAATAAATAATTTTTTTGTCAATTTGATAAAATTATTAATTTCATTTTAATCTATATAATAAAAACAAATATAAATTTATTTCATAAATTATTATTATTTTAAAGATAATTAAAACAATAAAAACACAGTATATAAATGTTGAAAAAA